ATCCCCCCGGACCCCCCTATGTGAGGTCCACACACCACCTATAAAAATACCCCTTTACCCCTGCTTACACCTATATGCCGTGAGCTGATTATCGAGCCTTCATTGTAACAGTTGCGGGTACACTGTGTATATGCGTGGGGAAAGTTGCAGTAGAAAATTCCACTGTAGCGACCGGTACATTAATGGGAATCCCTAAATGTTTGAGCACCCTCTATGAAACGTCAAGCTACCCCACAGCACCCCCAAAATAAATCTCTGGCGCCGCCACTGAGCCTGACTATTTGTGTTGGGGGGGCCTGACTTTTTTTTTTCTTCAAAGGGGGGGCCTGACAGAAAAGGTTTGGGAACCACTGCTCTATGATATCCCGAAATCTCTCAAAATGGTGTCATGAGGCCCTCAGTGACCTGTTGTGATGGCAGAGATGTGTCATGGCTAGTTTAGGCCAGGGTAAAACAAAGTACTGACCTCTCCTTGTCTGTGTTTATAAGCGTGGGAAGAGCCTGGTTACTCTTATTGCCTGTTCCCAACTGCCCATAGGAGTTGGCTCCCCAGGCGTAAACCATCCCCTCATCTGTGAGTGCCAGTGTATGAGCATATCCACACGCAACCTGTTCACGGGAAGAAGAGCAATATTAAGCTCAATAACAACTGAACTTTTTTTTTCTTTTTTTTTTAAATGTATGAGATCCGTCTCTCCGTAGGCTCTTACCCGGACGATGTTGACCCCTTGGAGAGCAGCGATCCTGCATGGGGTCTGCTGATTTCCATTGTTGCCCAAACCTAGCTGTCCATTGCAATTGTACCCCCAACCGTAGATCTACACACAGGGAAATAATGCACACTCTGCAGACGCTTTATCACTGCATTGGTGGGGCTTGGTTATCTGTATGTTTAGGGGTGATTGTTTTCAGCTTCTATTAGCATTTATCTGCATCATTTTTTTAATATTGTAAACATTTACTTTAATTTCAACAGGCTTTAAAAAAAAGTGTCTACACTTTCATTTACTATATTCTGAGATGTTAGCATTTCTAGAAACACATGTACTGTTAATTGAAATCAACACTGTTGTCTTGTTGGAGAAAACAGCAACTTTTGAAACCTTTTTTCCTTTTAAGTCACACAAAAAAGAAATAAAAATACATAAAATGATGGGCCATGCTTCTAACATACAAACTGTTAAACACATTTGCATTAGCCACCCCTACTCCACTTACTGAGAGCACTGATTGACATTCATGCTAAACATCTGCAGTTTGATGACCCATTACCTCTCCATTGTCCAGTACAGCCATGGAGCAGAGCTGACCACAGGCGATGTTGACCACCACTTTGTTCTGCAGGCAGCTGCTAACGCGGCGTGGTGTCGGCTGGTTGGCCGTCGAGCCTGAACCCACTTGTCCTGAGTTGTTGTAACCCCATGCGAACACCTGAACAAGGACATACATTTTCTATGTCAGAAGAAATACACAGCGTAGGCAAAAGAGAAACAGCAGGACGTATGATATGTCACCTCTCCGTCAGTTGTGAGGGCGATGGTGTGGTGGGAGCCACAGGCCACTTCTGTCACTCTCTTGCTAAGGAGGTTGGTGGAAACCAGGGCAGGGGTCAGTCCGTGGTTGGTGGTCCCGTTGCCCAGCTGGCTGTAGCCGTTATGGCCCCACGCAAACACCTCTCCGTCTACAGCATGGCAGGCAAACTTTCATTCATGTTGTCTCAGTGGTTAATATGTTATCAATAGTTAAGAAGCAGTCAGCTTCACATGATAAAGTAAACACATCTGGTTTATAGGCAAATCGTATCACTCTGAAATTCATTTACAGGTCTTGTAATACTCAACTGACAACAAGTAGATCAATGTTTGGTTTAATTGTTCATGATGTAGTAAACACTATTATTAGAAATCTGAATAGTTGGCAAACAGAATGAAATATTGTTATGTTACAATCAAATTAACTATGTGAATCATTCATACGGTACATTTTTTACAGATTGATGCAACATAGTGCAACTATTTTACCTAAAATCAACAACATTTTTCCCTTTTGTACCAAAACACACTGAATAGTCAGTCTATAAACCTGTCACTTGTAAGTTGCAATTACCGAAAAAAAGGCAAATTAGTTCACATAACATGTATTCACTCAGATCAGACACTTATGAATAGTAATCAGACTCTAACTCCTATCATGTTTGTTTACGTTGTACTGTTCTTAATAAGGTGTGTTTAGACAGTGCATGGGCAGTGATGACCCAGTATCATCCTAAAGCGGATACTAGGCATAAGCATGCATCCTCTTGTTGTTTGTGATGTTATTCCTCTGCATCTTGAGGACATGAGCCCTCAGGGACAAATAAAGGTTTCCTGGACTGGATTACCTGTAGTTGCAATAACCACATGCGGCCCGGTTCCATAGCTTAGGGACTCAATCTTCTTTCCACACAAGACATCAATCCGGCGCGGCTCAATATTGCTTTGAAGGTCTCCGAGCCCTAAACAGCCGCTGCAGTTGGTGCCCAGAGCGAAGACCTGCAGAGAGCAAGCATCACTTATGATACCCATACTCATAAATGATGCATAAATGCTGAATTCTGTTGTTAACTGATACATACTGACACCCAAATAAACCCAAAATATTTGGTTAGATGAAATACTAGGAGAAGACGATATAAGTTGACCTTATGAAATGTTAAATATCTTTTATGCTGTTCAGGTTTATTGATTAATTATATACAACAGACCTGCAACTAATGATATTGGCTATTTTCTTATTGCTTACATTTCTATAATTGTGTTGAATCAATTGTCCAAAAGACTCTAAAATGTCAGATAGTTCCAAAGTGCAGAGATTTTGAAAAGTATGTTTCTGTCAAATGAATGAATAATTAAAGGACTAATCATCATTTTTTCACACCCAAAAAAACTTCTCCTGCAGTGAGTTTTTAGCATATTTCAGCATCTTATATTCCAGAATGTTTGACAGTTATATTAATTAATATCAGCTTAATAATAGATGTTCTCCTTAGCAATATATAATGTAACATCTTATCAAAGCCCCAGAAAAATCTTCAAAATGTAATCTTTGCTGCTAGTCACGTGGGAATTATTTTTTACATGCAAAATTGTAGTGTTGAAATTATATGTCAAATGTATTTATTCCCAGTCTACTTAGTGGTGTTAATAGTGTCGTTCTATAGCAATTACTATACATATTTGAAGAGAATTCACCCAAATATTTATTTTTATTACACCACAAATGACTATTACCGAAACATAAAGTGTTTGGGCCACGGGGACAAACAGTTTAAATAGGTGAGCAAGATCAGGGAATGCCCTACACCTTTGCACAGGATAAGAATGAAGCTTGCTCAGGGAATAAGCCTGCATGGCTAAAGATAGCCTCATTCTATCTGCTTATCCCCGTGACTAGAATTGCAACCTGTGTACACCACATAGTGAATCCCTGCAACATTTCCCTATCCAACCCTTAAACTGAATAATAAAATCCCTATTATGAAAGCAGGGTGGATAGTTCAGGTCGTGCGACGACAACTTGTAAACAAGAGGATTAAAGCACTTTTGCTTTAAGATAAAGTGTTACCTCATCATTAACTGTGACATAGAGGGCTTCATTTGCAGCACTGCCAAAGACACAAGCCTGACGAATAAGCCGTAGTTCCTCTGGAGGAAGGAGGGCAAACACTGGCCACTTCCCCACGTCCAGCATACTCAGCTGTGAAATGAGGAGAAAACACAGATAAACAGATGTAAATTATTGTATATCCAGTCATCAATTTTGTTTAAAATATAGTGTACAAAAGCAGGAAATGTGGGAAGATTATAACATATTTTATTTGATCTAACTTATGTATTTTACTTTGTTAATTCTAGTGAACTTTTGAAATAAACAGTAGATTTAAAGTTTAAATTAAGTGCCCAGTCAAACAGGAGTATGGTGAAGTTTTATTTTATAACCATTCTTACTCTAGTAAATACATTCTCAATTTAATATATATTTTTACTGCAATTGTTTTTGATAGTGCAGTTATGGTAAAGATTACAAATGGCAAAAATCTGCCAACAATAAGTCACAATCATAACAATGTTATGATAACACCAAAGGGATACTACACAAAACTGGAAATCAAATATTGCCCAGTCTGTAGCAACCAATGTATACATTCAAAACTGAGATGGTTATTTACCCACAAGCTTATCCCAGTATTTGAAGTGCTCGGCTCAGACAGAAAGTTGGTACTGAGGCCAGCATTGTGGACAGATTAAAACATGTATGCGTGTGGATTGAGATAAACCCATTTACTGTGTTTGCTGATAGAAGGAGAGAAGTTCAATTGAGGTTTACTACACATTTTTTCTTTAATTTTTAAAATGGCAACTGCTAACCTGTCAAAACTACAGTGGTTGTGCCTCAGTGAATTTGCACTTGTAACCCAGACCTCATGAACACAGGCTTTTATTGTATAATAAACATTTACATGCCAAAGAGGACACACATAAACAATGCACAAGCACCGGGTTATGTTGCCTTGTAAGACTTGCAGACAGGTTTGACAAACTAGCAATATAAAGGTTGCTAATGTACCATATTAGCGGTAGCCTGGCTGTATAACTCAACCATACAAAACAAGTGTATTAAGCTAATTAGTGTAAGGAGTGTTGTTGTTGTTGCTGGGAGTTACCTTGACGTTGTTCTAGCTAATGTTTCATCCGCGGTGTCGTTTTCTTAGCACTGAACACTGAAACAACACAAAGTTGTCAGCCAACATATTGAGGAATCAAGTTGTTGATGAACTCATTTCGGTAGTCGGGTACTGGGCTAGCTTCACTTCAGCTGCTGTTTGTGGAAGAGCCTTGTTGTAGTTAGCTGTGAGCGCTAAAGCACCGACTGAAAACACACCGCCACCGTACTTCCTGTAGTTCGATGGTGCGTTCACTGACAGTCGGAGCTGTCAAGAAATATTCATTACGATTAGATAACCATTTGTAAAAGCCTTTGTAATTTTAGATGATGTTTCATGAAGCAAATGTCTACATACGAAGTGCTAAACAAATACAAATATATGTATTCTGTGTTCTGAATATTTAAAAAAAACTAAGGGCTATACAATCCATGAAACGAAAAAGCAACTACATATAAAGTGATTGTAAAAGATACCTTCATTTGTACATTATTTCCCCACTAGTAGCCTCAAGCAGTGGTCAGTGAGTTGACTTACTGCTGTTTAGGGTGCCTTAGTCAATTGAACACTGCTGACCAGTGCTCTAAAATATGGTACGAAACAAATTAATACATTTTTTTAAAGAATATTTATTTGTAAAAGCACATATTGTGGATGTATTGCTCAACATTCAGATTGTAATGGTATTGATAAAACATCCACTTTACTTTGCAAACTCCCCATCCACCAGCCTGATCTCACTTCCATTTCTCTGATACACATTATCCACACCACTAAATGTTTAGGCAATTGCAGTATACTGTAATTGCATAATAATCATAATTATTTATGTTTGATTGCTCTTGCCATTTGATTGTGAATGATTTACAATAAACTAATCTGCTGATGTTTCGGATTACAATTTAGACCAGACTAATTTCCCTGATTGTATGTTGTCAACACCACTAATGATCAAAAGAATGTTGGTGCACTTGAGAGGAATGATTGAAAATACAATATATTTCTTCTTGGAACATGTTCACATTATGCGAAACCAACCTCTTCTAAATAAATATAGATTTTCAGTAACCCTGTGGCAGCGAAGCACTTAGTGAACAATCTTGACACTTATTTAAGAAGCACTTTCTGTATTGATTTGAACTGTCATCAGTTTCCTGTATTGAATAATTGATTTACAAAAAAATTTGAATACTTTGTGGATTTAAACTCACCATTTAAAGAAAAATTGTTTTAACAACATGATAATGAGTTTAAAAAAATGTATTTTCTAAGGGGATCTTTTTAGTATTCATAGAAATATAATTATTTCCCACAATATAGGTGCACATTAGAGATTAGGCCAGACCACCACCTGCTTTTGATGTAAAATTAAGTATATCATTAAAAATGTAAGTTCAATTGTCAATAAAAAAGCCAAAGTAACCAGCAGGTGGAGCTATGCCTGATACTTCATGACACATTGCACCTTAGTACCAAAGCTTAAAAGTCACTCACTTTGACAAACTCCTATTGTATTTGCATGTGTGTTGCGTGTCACTTAACATTCATGAGACCCAGAAAGAAAAAGGTTTCAAATGTCCTTTTTTTTTTATCACACAAGTCTTTTGGGTGGTATAAACATAATGACTAACAAAAACAAAAAATATATATTTTTATTTTTGTTTTATTGTGTGTCCTTTGTAGAGGACATCGGGGCCCTTTCTAATTTCTCTAACTCCCCTCCTCTACTCCCCTCCTCGACTCCTATCCTCGAGACTTAGTCCCGCCCACAGGAGATGCGAGCGGAGGAGCCGAGGAGGGGAACCGAGGAGAGAGGAGGGGAAGCAGCAGGCGGTTAGAGAAATGAGAACTCCTCTCCTCTGAGCGGTCATTTTAAAGAGACGTCCATTAATGATGACAGGAGGCACAGCAGCCCTCTGTCTGATGGACAGATCAGATGTGTTCACGACGACTTATATATTTACTTTTAATTCATTCACAGTGCTGTATAATGAGACAATAACAGGCTACAGATGCGGGGACAGACACACACACACACACACACACACACACACACACACACACACACACACACACACACACATATATTTATATAAATATATACAATTTCAGAATCAAACAAGAGCACTCTCATAATAACGTAACACAATCAGAGACTGGATATATCCCCCCCCTCTCTCTGGTCGCTACAATGGGGAATTGAAATTACGGGCCAAAAGTTGTATTTACAAGTATTAAAAGTAAGCATAGGACACCAAACCAACTGAGAACCGTCTGTCCGCCGCATCTACGCACTGTACAACACACACACCTACACACTGTATCACACACACCTACAGCCCCAAAGCATATAATCAGGCTACAGTTGTAGATATCTACTAAACTACAGCAAATAAAGAGAGTAGGCCTATAGGCCTGTTATACTGAGTGATATATATTTTACACACTGCCCTGCTTTCTGCACGGACCTCACAGCTGTTCTCGATGTAAACATTGCGTCGCGATGAGAGCAGTTAATAAATAATATCCAGGGGATGCATGCAGAGCTGTGGCTGAGATAAATCCGGCCGTGCGTTATGACTCTTTTAAACCTCACTGTTGCCGGAAATGCATCTACGAAGGAGCCGTGGAGGACCGTGGAGGACCCATCAGTGTATCCTCGGTTAGAGCTCCTCCAGAGAGCCTCCTCGACGCTCGATCCTCGGTCCTCGAAGTGCATTTAGAGAAATGAGATGTCCTTCAAGATGGCGCGCTGAAATTCATTTCCAGGTCACTACCGGAGGACCGAGGAGTCGAGGAGTCGAGGAGGGGGATTTGATGAAATGAGAAAGGGCCCATCGGGTGTTAGTTATGCGAAGCATAGTATACAAACAAGTTGAAACAACATTAACATACAAGTACATTTAGACAAGCACAACAACTCAATGCAACACATATTGAGTCCTCATTTGTAGTGCTCCATCCTTTTTTGAAATACAGAGAGACATCTGACACTTAAGGCACTTGATGTATGTTTTCCCACTGCATCAATCTGTCATGAACCCTACAGAAACCTAAGTGTTAGTTTTGGCCCATAGTGGACTCCATTTGTGTTCTGTAAAATGGGGGAAATAAAAAGTTAGCAAATCATGTCCTCCTCAGAGGACATTCATAAAAAACATTTAGTTGTAGGTCAAATAAGTACTCACTACAATAACTCCTAAGATGTTCCCTTGCTATAATTAATTAAAATATTGAACTCACAACCCTGGCAATTACAAAATTGCAAACTTACCATTTCTCTTTCTATAAATAGTGCTTGTGTTGATGGACGCCATTTTGAAATACAATGAAATTATCTTTTTCAAAGCCACAACCCCACATAGTCATATGTTTGAAAAGCCAAGGATGTCCTCTGTGGAGTCTGTGTGGAGTACAATTTGACTTAATGTTGTGGCATGTATATTCTCAAAGTAATGGACCAAAACCCAATGTTCTCCACAGAGGACAAAAATGAATGGGTGGGTCTCTGGAGGATATTTCCCAAAAATACTAATTTGCAAGTTTTAATGGAAAAGCAGTTGCTATAATATGACTTATTGGCATGTTCAAGGGTTTCTTGATTAAAGCTAAAGCATACTATACAAATTGTAAAATTGATTATAGTAATTGAAATACACTTGTAAACAAATGATCTGTCATCTAAGGTACATTTTGGCACTGAAACATACAGTACCACAACATGTAAAGGACTGCATACAACCAAGACATGATGCCATCGTGAATTTGCCTTCAAATTAGGTATTTTGATGTGATACTGAATTGTGATGTTTCTCAGTGTTGTTCCCTGTCCAACAGTAACAAGTCCCTGGGACTTTGTATAATAAGGAGATGGAGCCATATAAATGGACCACCCATGCACAATCAAAACAATATAGATTTGGGCCCTGATAAGAATCTAATCAAAGCCCCAGAAAAATCTTCAAAATGTAACATTTGCTGCGAGTCATGTGGACATCATTTATTACATGCACACTTGTAGTGTTGAAATTATATGTCAAATTTCCAGTCTACTTAGTGGTGCTAATAGTTTCGTTCTATAGGAATTATTATACTCTAGGCTGAACACACGATATGACTAGAAACCTTTAAAGGCAATATGATGTTGTTAAGGTGGACCGGATATTTCCAATAAGGATTGGGCCAGTTTTCAGAGTTGGCTGTTCAGGCAGAACTGAAACTAATATGATCACATCCATGTCAATCCAATGGGATCCTTGTATAGTTTCACCACAATAAACCAATAAAAAATGTTTCTCTGTGACTGACTTGGTGAAATAAAACGATAACACACACGTCAACCTTAAGGTCCTCCTTAAAATCATGAAAATTTACGTAGACAGATGAAGCTAATTATAACTGTACAGATGGGCTAATTATAACTGTACACACTATTGAATGCTGATGGAACCATTCAAAAGCAAAACCATATGACAATATTAGAAATATTATTTCCCCCTTTTTCCCCACCCTTTTAAATCCATATGTCAATCAAACATTGTATACACACAAAACATTGACATCAGGGGTACACAGGTACATACAGAGTTAAACAAAATAAAGAAAAAATAATATAAATAAATAAACATATAAGATAAAAAGACAATTGTGATAAAAACAAAAGGTACAATTTCTAGTAAAAATATAATAAAAATAAGAATCGAATACAAATTTGGTTGTTGTAAATTTAAGTAAACATTTTCAACATTTGGTTTAGTGTCAGTCCATTTTGATTGTGAATGTGAAATGTTCGCACAAATAAAATTAGTTGTATAAAAACACATATATTGTATCAAATAAAAAACCTTTAAAGTTTAATAAAATGTCCTCTTCCTGAAGTTGTATCCATTATAAATATTTGTATTTGTTATCTGGGCACTTGGGATTCGTCATGATTTGCAGTATCACGCATGCGCACAGAGCCCTGCATCGATGGAGAAATTCCTGACTTTTATGCGAGGTGCAGGGTTGGATGGAAAGTTATCTCGATAAACTGGCAATCAGGCTAACATTATCGATTCTTAGCATCGTCACCGTTGCTCGATAGTCACGCCGATCTGTTTGAGGTGTAGTCAATACGGGCGGTCGACGTTCACGTTAGGAGAGAAGCACATCTCGCTTACTATTAGCTAAGGTAGCATTAGGGTAGCTAACATTAGCATGTCACATATTGCCTGTGTTTATCCAGGTAGCT